GGCTCTCACTGTTATTGTCACAGAAATCACTGGGAAAAAACATTTGAAGATTTTTGGGTCACTGATGCCTTTGAGTACAATAAAGATTAAAGATAAGTCACTAACATGTTTATTTCTCATGCTAAACTTGTGTGAGTAACAGAACAAGAAGGTTATGGTGGCTTATACCTGTAATCCCAGAACTTTGGAAGGCTGAGGTGGGTGGATTGCTTGAACCCAGGAGTTCAAGAGCAGCCCGGGCAACATGGCAAAAACCCGTCTCTACCAAAAATACGAAAATTAGCCAGGCAGGGCGGCACACACCTGTAGTCCCAGCTACTCAGGAGGCTAAGTGGGGAGGATTGCCTGAGTCCAGGAGGCAGAAGTTGCAGGGAGTCATGATCGCACCACTGCACTCCAGCCTGGGCAACCGAGCGAGACCCTGTCTCAAAACAATAACAACAACAAAAACCAAAAAACAAGAAAGTTAAATCTAATTATAAAGAACCAAGAAATTGTTGGGTCAAAGATTCTAAAGGTATTTAAAGAATAGGTTCTTATATATTAAAACGGGTTGTGCATGTAACCCAGTTTGACATTTTTTATGTTGTTACATACTTCATATAACTTCATGTTAATACTTAAATATTAATATGCAGACCACAACATTCAAACATGTTGTATTCTAAAAGCTGAACTACATTAAATTTAAGTTCTCTGTATCTTGACTGTAAGTAACTATAACATAGTAAGAACAGAAAAAGAACATTTTCTCCTTTTTCTTTCTTCTCGTCTCAGGTTTTACCCAAGACACATTAAAATTACCTGCCTGGGCACCAAAGTCAACTGATTTGACCACACATACTGTAAATCACAGGCCAGTTCACTTTAGTAGGTGAGCGATGAGAAAGGGAAAGAGAAAGTAGGGTCAAAGAGAAAACTGAAAGTGAAGGGAAAAGGGGTACACATTTTTTAAATAAATGAGAAGACATATTATTATACATGTAAAAGATAAGAATACAAAGACTCCTGGGAAAGCAGGATGGATTGGGATCCAAAGTAATAGTGGAAGGATTGGCCTTGCAGAGAAAGATGTACAATGTGATATCTACAACATGTACCAACATTTTTCTAACTCCTTCCATCAAAGGGCGGAATCTAATTCAACTTCCCTTGATACAGACTCATTAAAGTGACTCACTTAATGAACAGAATACAGCTGAAGTGACACTGCTTGACTTTGGAGGCTAGGTCATAAAAGGTGATACAGCTTATACCTGGCTCTCTCCCTCCTTCTTGGAACTTAGCCACATGATATGAAGGCCCAAGCCACATGTAGAGGTCATGTGTAGGTGCTCCAGCTGACAGTCCTAAGTAAGGTACAAATTACCTGTACGGCCAGCATCAACAGGGAAATATGTAAATGAGCAAGGCTTTATGTGTTTCTAGTCCCCAGCTTTTGAGCTAAGATAGCTGATGTCATATAGAGCGCATAGCTGAGCTCCGCCCAAATTACTTACTTTCAGAAGTAAAATAAATGTTGTCACTCTTTAAGTTGCTAAATTTAGGAGTCCTGTGTGATGTAACAATAGATAAATATAACAGACAACTCCTCTATTATAATAGAACAAGACGGTCAAGTTAAAATACAGTAGGTGTGAATAATAGGAAGAAGTTAAAGGGGTTCCTGTCTGATAGCTTTTCTTTTCCTGGTAAAATATGATGTAATATCATGACTTAGAAACAGATAATGGAGAAGTCAGAGGTATAAAGAGAGAAATGAAATAGAACTTGTGAAGAATGAGAGACAGAGTTGATAAGAGAAATGTGATAAAACTGTCAAGTCATGTTGACAGCCCATTTGAGGTTGATGATAGTAAATTTCTAGTGTTCTTCTGTGTGGCTTTCTCTAGCAGTGCTTGGCTCTTGGTTGAAAGCACTGAGAAAGCACATAGCTGAGTTTATCATGAGTTACTTTTTTGTTAGAGAGATTTGATAAAGAGGCAGATGTGCAAAGGAATTTTGGGACCAAGTAATCTAAAATGGTTAAGAAGAAAAAATGAAAATGAGAGGACTGATGGATAAATGGATGAGAAGTTCTGATGAAGAATGATCATAATGGGAATATTTAAAAAGCAAGCAAAAAGGAGAGGAAATTGTGATCAAAGAATCACACACCTACATTGGTGATTCTTGAGCAGTTAATGAATATGACATGGTCCTTGGCGAAACTAGACATCTGAAATGAACAAAAAGGGAACAGGAGATAACATGGTCAAAGAACAGAGGTGCAGTGATGTTAAATGAGTCGTTAACATAGAATTCAAAACCATCCAGAATGAATGCAGAGCTGAGAGTGTAGAGGAACATTGTGAGCCAGATGCCAAAGTATTTGATGAATAAGAAGTAAGCAAGAGACTGGTAAATGACAGCAACAAGGATGAGAAACACATTGGCACAGTTGAATGATATATGCCTTGAATAACAAATTTTTCAAAAGGTTGGGAGCATAATACTCTAGTTTTCCCTAGTCCAGTGTCTTCTTCCTACCTGCCTGAGACCAATCTCCCCATACCAACTGTGATATAATTTTGATATATAAATGTCAAAGAAGCTACTACATAATAAAAAAAGGCAGGGAAAGAGGTACCCTCTTATCACATTAATTAACTATTATCCCCAAACAGTCAATACATTACTGACACAGTTCCTGCCAATGAAGGAAAGGGAGGAGGATGTACGCTTCTACAAGAGGTTTGAATTTTTGATCCACTTAACTATCCATGATTTTAGCTCCCACTATGACATGAGCCAAGAACTGTACCACATTCCAGAGATTAAAAAACTAAACGACATAGACACTGCTTTGCCAGATCACACTGTAGTGGGGATAGGAGTTGAAAAAGCAATGTAGTACAAGTGCTACAATTACAGATGTAAATATCTCCAAAATGGACTCAAAGCAAGTTCCCATTTCAGTTAGTTTCAGTCTATTTCCCAAGATGATCTCAGAAATTGTATACCACTCCTATATAAATTCCTATGCTGCATTTTCACACTAGTATTAATCTCAGGTACCTATGTATCACTGTATGCCTTACTATAAATATCTGTATCTGCCTACCAGTTTAAGGACAGGAACCAAGTCTTATTTTTATTTGCATCTACAGACTAGTATAATGCCTGGTTTGAAGTAGGTGCTCAGTAAGTACTGATTAAGAATGAATGAAAGACAAACAAGGGAATGTTTTGCCTGCCATTCTATGAATTGAACTATGGCTTATTCATGACCTCAAGACTACAGCCTAAAGTGAGGCTCATATTCTTCCACAGTTTAACCTGTCATGGCTCCCACTCAGAGGGAGTTGAGCTAAGATTGAAAGAGCTAAGTTACCAGTACAGCTAGCCCCTGTAAAAGAAGTAATTAATACCTATACCAACATGCTCTCTGAAGTTTGTGGCTCACATACAACAATGGCCTGCTGATGCTATATGGTCATCTACTTAAGAAGAATACAGTATAGAAATGGAATATTCATTTTACTAAACAGGACTCTAAACTAATAAGATCACAAGTACAGTCTCTTTAATTTTCTAAGGACAAGTCCAGATTGAGAAAACAGGCTTGTCACAGACCTAATGGTTTGGATTGCACAGCTGTCTTACAACAAAACAAGTTTAAGATGTCCCTGAAAAATTAACCTATGAATAGAAGACAACAGTGAATATAACATTAAACTGTGGTCAGAGAGCCTGGGACTTTATACCTTGTTACATCAGGCCAGATAAAAAAATATGGCATCTACATTGGATTTTCTAAGGCAGAACTAATTTCAATTATGCTAGTGTATCAATTTAACTGGTGCATTTCTCTCTTATAAGAATATCAAATTTGATTCGGAAAATTTTCTGCATAGATACATAGCATTACTGAATCTAATTCACATTACAAAAAACACGTCCTATAATCCACTTCCTACAACATTCTCATAATTGTGCTTTTACTTGTCTAAATCTTTTACTAGACTATGAGCTACATGAAGACAACTCTTTACTCCCTATTTCACTGGTTAGGGAATAAAAATAAACTAAATGAATACATTAATTATAGCAGATTAAAATAAAGAAATCCACTAAAAGCATTTTAAGTTATACCACCATATCAGCGGGAAAAATTTATCTGCATAATAGTAGTAAACCTTAGTATCAGCAAGAAAGAGACTTATGTTATAAATACTGATGATTCTTTTGGAAAGTGCCGGGGGCTGGAGAGATTATAAAACCTATAGAGAGTAAAAAAACAAGCCTCGGTGGTACACACCTGCAGTCCCAGCTACGCAGGAGGACTGCCTGAGCCCAGGAGTTTGAGTCCAGCCTGGGCAACACAGTAAAACTCTGTTTCAAAATAAATAAAAATTTAAAAATGTTTTAAAGAGTAAAAAAGCATTAAAATTTTCTTGCTTTTGAAATTGCTAAAAATACTACCTAAATTTGTAAACACATATGTTTCACCTTTAAACATAAATGACTAATCAGTTAAATACATTTATTGTCTAAGCCCAGTTTATATCAAGGTTTTACGACAATTCATTTTACTTGTTCTACAACTAGCTTTTATAAGTTTGGAAGAATAGTCCACGGGTTCTAGGGTTTCAAGTTTAGGTGAGCAATCCCAGATTTTCTGTCTATGCTACTTGATTTTACACACTTTAATCATGTAACCTTAATTTTTCTAGATTAAATGAAATATATACATATATATAGTTTATTCACACGCAATAGACTTTCCATGCTCTTACTCCTGTTAGCTGCCCCTGATCTAAAGTTTCTCTGGTTCTGCTATACACAGAACACCACATCTATACATAGTACGCTAGTGATTTCACATAAGAGTAGAATGTTTCATGTTTTATTTCCAAGACTCTGCCCTGATGGTGAACATTTTGATGGTTCCTTTACTTGTAGTAGGACATGAAAATATCTTCAAAGATAGTACAGTGATTCATAAATTTGTCTTTTTAGGTGCAGACCCTTGCTTTATTGGTCTGATTTGTTCACAGTTAAGCCCCCTGCTCAGAGGACCAACAGGCCAGCTAAGGAGCGAAGGAGGTGCCTCGAGCCTTCCAGAATCAAGGCTCTACAGGGTTCCCCAGTCCATCGCTCATTTTCTGGCCCCCTGCCTGGGAGGCTAGCTGGGAGGGGGTTCCCTGGGGAATGGGGATGGGCGACTACACAGGATTTCAGTGTGGGACCCAGGGTCTGCTCTTCACAGTAGGAGGTGGAAGGGATGACTAAGTTCTTTATTACAGACCTACAAAAAAATGAGAGAATTATGTATTATTCTCACTAGTTTGGGCTTCTTTTTTCTTTTTCTTTTTACAAAACAGCAGCAGGAAAGAGAAATGCAGGTGGCAGATGAGCCAGGCACGAGGCTTCAGATCGGAAGGGACCAGAGATGAGGACCAAGGTGTGGCTGCCTGAACAGGAGTGCTGTGGGCTGGCCTGGGCTCTCTCTATGCATCCTGAGAGAACTGCCATAGGCCCTAGTGGGACAGGACGAAAGGCATGTGGGAGGGAAGAAGGCAGTCCCTGGATCAGCAGCAGCACCATCCTCTGATGCTGTCTGCCACCATCTTGGGCAGTCCACCAGCTCGGAAGCACTCACTGCTGGAGCCTGGGCTCTAAGCATGGACCCCAGAGGCCAGACAGGAGAGAGGTGGCAAGGCCAGACAGGAGAGAGGTGGCAGGAAGAGTTCTATTGGTGTTACACGGGACAAGGGAACCAGGACTCGTCCTTGCTTGTCAGCCCATCAGCTTCTTCAGGCAGGCCTCCAGCTGATCCTCATCTTTGATGCCCACAAACTTGTCCACCACATCCCCATTCTTCATGGCCAGCACAGTGGGCACCGCCAACACCTCATACTCAGTGGTGAGGTCTGTGTGGTCATCAATATCCACCTTGGCCATAAGTACTTTCCTATGCTGCTTGGCCACCATCTTCTCTAACCTTGGCCCCAGTATCTTGCAGTGTCCACACCACTGTGTGTGGAAATCCACAACCATGGGCGTCTCACTGTTGACCAGCTGGTCTTGAAAGTCACGTCCATCCTGGATATTAACGGTCATCGAGGAGATCCTGGTGGTGTATATTATCCGATCTGAGTTGGGTGTTACAGCCAGGCCACCAGGACTGCATTGTGGGGTCTGCAGGACTCCATAAGTGAGAGGTGGCCACCGATCCTGAGAGGGCTTCCTGGAGACGACTGAGACCAGGAACCTCCTCAGGAAAAGTCACTGAGACATTTCCCTGCAGTGCGAGCAGAGGGATACACAGCCCAGCCCTCCCTGCCTGTCAAGGGCACTCCTGTCCATTACTATCATTCCTTAAATGTAAATCAAAAGTTTTCGCAAATACATTACCATATATTTATTTGCTCAATTGAGGATCATTTGCCACTTCTCTGCCTACACATTTTGTGAGCACTTTTTATGATTTATTGCCTAATTTTGTTGCTTCCTAAGTGTATATTTTTTCCTTTAAATAAATATAATAGAAGCATTGGATTATAAAGCTGGAAGAAGAGATCACAGTGTCATTAGGCCATCCCTCTCAATTTTATACCATAACTTGGAGATATTAAAACATATGTCCAAAGTGAGATATTAGAATGTATTAGGAAAAAAAATTAGATTTTTCTTACTCTCAAGTTTATGATTTTACTATTCAATTACATCTGAACTTTTAAACATCTATGTTAAAGGACTCTAGGGGAATAAAACCGACATTTACTTAGTACATAATAGATGTTGGTGCTATATTTTACATGTTCTTTCCACTACCCTGTATAACTACAAAACTGAATAGCTTAGAGGACGCACACTTAAATTATAAAAGTAATATTTTATGATTTTAAATTACTTTGTTTCTTTAAAAGTTACACTGTTCTCATCAGTACTTTGGCTTTCCTCTTTTTAAAACAAAAAGGTTAAACTTTTAGTATATAAAATTCTTAATTTATGTAAGTTATGCCAGATGTTATAGTTTCTATAGTTTCTAAACAGTTGTCTTTGAAAAGAGTAAAATGAGGATAAAATGTGGAAAAGGTCCCTTGACCATCCAAGGTCATTTTCCCCCATGGCTGGGAGATAAAAGACAATTCACACATAGAATAACCAATCAGCTATCATTTATCAGAAATGACATGGGTATCCCAAATTCAGTATGTCCCAACCCCAACCCCCAACGTACTCCTGCCCTCTGTATTCATTTCCTGACTCTATTACCGGCGTTACATCTACCACGACACTGAAGCTAAAAATGTAACGTTTCATCCCCAATTCTCCTTTTCCTCATTTCCCACATGCAATCAGTAAAATACATTCTGCTCAATTTTTCAGATTTCTCCCATTTCAGATCCTTTTCTCCATCCCTACCTTTACCACCTTGGTTCAGACCCTCAATAGCCCTCACCCAAATTATCATAGGAGTCTTATAACTGATCTTGCCTCTATTCCACTTGCTCCATAATGATTTATCTTCACATCACCACCAAAGTAACCTCTTTTAAACCCAAATTGTATCATGTTTCTCTCTTATTTCCAAGTGCACAACGGCTCCCTGTTGTCTGAAAGATAAAATTCAAACTCTCTCCATTATGTGGTCCTCTGTCCATTTCTTCAGTTTCATCTATCATTATACAATGTCCCCTTTTCCTGTCACCGACCCCACATTCCATCATTTAATCATAATGGGCAACTTACTTCCTTCTCCTGAATACGTTACATGGCTTTACTTCTCTGCATCTTCACTTATCAATGCTCTGTCTACTCACAACACCCTTCCTCCTATAATCCATGTGATGAACATTTATCATTTTCAATGCTCAACTCAGGGCTCAACTCCTCTTTGAAGTCCTTTTTGAACCTCTTCCTCCCCATCCCAGTGGAAATGACCTTTCTTTCCCTCGGTTCCCAGCTGAACTTTAATGAAAGGATTTGTGACAGGTTTCATGTATTTGTTGACATGTCTATCTTTCCCCCTTTGGAATATAGGCACCCTAAGCAGGTACTGCGGCCTATTCAATCTTCATTCCCATAGTCTTGTGTAGAGTCTGTCACATTTTAGGAGCTTGATTATGTGTACTGAATAAAGGAATGAATGAAGCAATGAACAAAGAACTATATAGGACATTCTTGAAGGAATACATTTAAAAGTAAGATTAAATACTCAAAATAATGAGATACTGACCTAAGTACATTTACCTTTTATAAATTTCACACTTTTCTATTTAACACAATGTTTTTCACTAAAAATTTAGGATTTATTAATCTGAGGAAATTTGATCACCCATGTATACAAACATTTATCACCAAGATATATAACTTCATAAGTTGTACTAATTTTTAAAAATTAATTTAATGGAATGTCAAAATGAATTATGGTCAACTACTAATTATCTGACAGGATCTTAATAGCTATCCTGGCTTACCTAGCACCTTCTCACGTGCTGCTTCTGTCACTCAGCCATGGCTTACTTTTCTAAGCTGGCTTTCATGCCTCTAATTATCCTACTGCTGGCAATGAAAAAGCAACAATCTGTCTACAGTCTAAGTGAAGGACACTGAGGAGGAGAATAGGAAAAATGGTTCCTGAACATGAGATAATTTGATACAGTAGACAATCCGCACAAACAGATTCACAAAATCATGGAACTGGATGAGATCATATGTATTTATCATCAAAACTGCATAACTGATTGTTTTGACTTTTTTCATCTTACACCCAAGAAAGATTTCCCAGGTACCTCTGCATTCTACTGAATTGGAACAAATATCTGCTACTGATTTTCCTTTGATAATTGAAAGGTGCAAAGACCTAAGTAAGATATAAGAAATCACTACATTGCTCATCAACATTTAAATCTACAAAAATTTTTCAATAAAAGAATATTCACTGACATTGAGTATTAAAAATCACAAAATTTTAATTCTAATACAGCCCCAAAAAGAATTTAACTTTGTAGTTAATAAATTACACACAAATTATTGAACTATAATAATTTGTTCACTAAGTTTATAAATACTTATTCTGAGGAAATGCTGAGGAAATAAGTTAATTCTTAAATGAGAAAAAATAAATTCAGCATTCCATTAATCTACACACACTTGTAAGGATCCACAAATAACCAAGATGACAGAAAGATGGGTTGGCATTTTTATTAAATGCAAAAACAGCTATGTTCTAAACCTGTGCTGTCCAATTTACCAAACACTAATTAGCCACATGTAAGTTAAAGATTCAGTTTCTCAGTGGTACTATTCACATTTCCAGTGCTCAATAGACATGTGGCTAGTAGCTACTATGGTGGACAGCATAGGTGGAGATCACTTCCATTATCACAGAATGTTTGACTGGACAGTGCTACTCTGAAATGAGAATTTGCCAATACTTTTAAAATGATAATACAAGTTCAAATAATAATTTTTTGATTGACTATTCGGCAAGAAGGGAAAAGTATACATTTACAAATGGGAAAATAAATAAATATAAGTACTGCGGTAATGAAGCCTTTAAGTAAATAAAATTAGTTTTATGTGGTTTAATTTGAAATTCTACTATATTGAATCTGAAAAGATGATGATAAAACTGAATCCAGAGAATGGTACAAGAAAAAAATAATCTTTTTCACTTAAGATTTTAATATACCAAATAAAAGTCATGTTTGAAAAGTGAAACATGCTATAATTGTCTAAGCTATTCTGTGTGTCTTAGCATTGGCTATTCTACTGGATAGAGAGGCTGTTCAGCAAAGTGGTTAGAATTTCAGGTTCTGGGCTTACAGTTGCCTCAATTTAAATGTTGCTTCTTGACTTACTAGCTATGCAACCTTAAGCAAGTCACTTAGGCTCTCGGAGCCTTTGTTTCTTCATCCATAAATGAAGGAATAACTCAAGTACTTTATAGTTAAAAAGATTAAGTAAAAGTTTATACATGGAAAGCATTAGATAACCCGGCACATATTAGTCCTCAAAAAATTTTTGTTGAACCTAGTCTACTGGTGGCTTTCTATGATTAATTCCTATTGACTTTCAAATCCATAGGACAGAGAGATACTCTGGAAAACATTCAAAGATCATATGTGAACACTAGGTCATATGGTAACTTAATGACTTGCAGTCATGAAAGAATCTACATTCAAATCTCTACCAACACTTTTCACTCATGGGCCTCAACATTTTTGCAATGAATGTATAACACAAAGCCCAATAGGCAACCTGGAGGTATAGTATTTTTTTTTAATGAAATAAATAAAAACCCCTCCCAGGTTAAAAGAAGTAGTGTGCTTCTTTGGTGTGTTGGTGACTGGGGCTGGTGTAAAAGGTAAAAGACTGGATAAGTAAAACAAACTTAACTGACAAGAGTTTAAACCTTCTCTGAGAATTTTATCATATTTCTAAAATTTATGTTTCTCTGTATTAGCTGATGTTTAAATAACTACATCCAAATTTTAAAAGGGATATATCTTCGAGAGTAATTTTAAAAACACACACTATCATATACTATTATGTATATAATAGCGCCAGTTATTCTTTCATTAAGTTTTGACATACATCAATACAATTTCCTAATTCACTACAGCAGAACAACAGGTACCTAAGTTAATGTTATCTCCAAAACCTGTGGAGATGAAGATGGAATCTCACTTAGCCTTTAGGTCTTACCCCAGAAAATGTTAATTCTAATAGAGGGACCAGTTTCAGTAGAGTATAATACAGGCACCAGATAGTCAAAGTTAACCAAGACCCTTCTAAATTATCTTTATGCCTAACTTCAACTTCATTCTTCTGGAATATTTTTAGAACTAAGCTCTGGAATCACCTGCCCTTCTGAAGCTTGGTGCTAACTGAACCTGAAATCTTAACTGACTTGATATTTTTAATCAACTTTTCAAATCAAACATTTTCATACAGCAATTTTCAGAGTTCTAATTCCACTTTCCATAATGTTAGCACTTGTATTTTTGCCTTTCAGGTAACTCTTATATATATGAGTTACCCATTAGACAGTAACATGTTTTAGCTTTTACTTATAGTCTCTAATTGAAACTAAAACATTTGGTGAATATTTTGAAAATAAATGTATTAATTGATTATTCAGTGATGCTGAATGGAGTGCAGGCATCAGACTCTATTCCTTACTCGGTTATTACTAACAGTATGATCTCAACTCCAGCTTCTTCAGAGATCAGGATCTTTGAAAAGGAATGATTGTACAGGCTGATCTGTAACATCATATATTTCTAAAAGTTTTGAAAAACAAATTTTCAAGAATAATTCTTTAAAAAAATACACAGAACAGTTAGGTATGTAATGATAAGAGTTCTTTCATTAAGTTTAAAATACAATTTCTTTGTTTACTACAGAACAGCAACATATACCTGATAACATTGCTCCAAATGAAATTACAAACATTAATCAACACATGACATTTCAAATAATTTTCCCTATGACACATAACATGCTATTTTTTTTTTTTTGGTCACTTCACAACAGCTTTTTAAACTATTATAATGACCTTGTTTCCATAAACAAAGTTACACAAAAAGCTGACTAATAAGTACTAGACTGTCATTAACACTTAAAACATAGGAAAGAATTTATTCATGGAAATAATTTAAATATGTTCAGATAAACATTTGAAGTTTCCATTCTGTTTTCAGTAAATATTCTGAGGTTATTTCACAGCTATGAGTTGCAAATTAATACTGTCTAAGGGAGAATTGTTTTGATAACTTAATAAAAAATATACAGGTCACAGGAGAGTCTACTATCATTATCCAAAATATAAACATTATACAGGTCAGCACTTGCTAATGAAAACTACTAATAGGATCATTCTCCAAACACTCTTTTGTAACACAATTAGCACGTTTTAAGTTAATACAGTTTTAAATTAACACGAAAAATGACAACATATAAGGTACAAATAATTCTTTATGCTTTTTGCATTTTTTATACTTCCTGTACAGTTAGTTACTATATTTCCGCAATTTTAAAAAGATAACAAAGGCCGGGCACGTTGGCTCACGCCTGTAATCCCAGCACTTTGGGAGGCCGAGGTGGGTGGATTACCTGAGGTCAGGAGTTCGAGACCAGCCTGGCCAACATGGTGAAACTCCGTCTCTACTAAAAATACAAAAATTAGCCGGGTGTGGTGGTGGACGCCTGTAATCCCAGCTACTCGGGAGGCTGAGGCAGGAGAATCGCTTGAACCCAGGAAGCGGAGGTTGCAGTGAGCCAAGATTGCACTATTGCACTCCAGCCTGGGCAACAAGAACGAAACTCCATCTCAAAAATAAATAAATAAAATAACATACATTCTACCTCTACAATGGTTTCTTTAGATCTCTGTATGACATACTGTGTGTTCTTAAATAGTTTATATAATAGCTCATCAAACTTTTCTGGAGCTCCCAAAAATTGATACCAAAACCTTACTGATGAAACATAAACCATATAATCTGATCTATTTATGTTAAACCAAATGAATGACTAAATCCTTCTAAATGAATTCTACTTTACTAATACAGAAAAAAAAGCTATTTCCTTCATGCTAAATTATAAAATTAGCCTAATTCTTATGTTACAACCATGAAAACATTACAAGTAATATTTACACAAACTAAAATTATCAGGCCCACTTTAAGTGCTAACATGTCATTCACTACTGGTGATGTAACAAATATCATCTGTTATTCGGCCATTCTGAATTATAAAAATATATAAACTTTACAAAGGCAAACCCAAGTTTTATTTCACGACCATTCTGACTGACACATATATACACACATATATATGCATGTGTATACATGCATACACAAACACACAGACACACACACACACCTCACAGCCATACAGAAATTCCATTTTCATGATATTTTACTTTTTGATGTAAAGTGTGGAGTACCCGCACCTTCAGCTCTCAGAAGAAATTAACCGTGTTCTGGAAGCACTTCCACTCCGAATGACCTTTAAGTTTTACAGGCATTGCAGCAGATCCTAGAATGTCTAGAGAAAAGGCAAACCTGCCTGGCTTTTTTCTCTAATGGATAAAGTTGCTGTTTGGTCTCATTATGTTTTCCATTCCTAATCTGAAGAGATGAAGGATCTCTAAGGCAGAGTTGTTCACTCAGGATTAGCCTCACTTGCGTAGAGCCAGACTAGCAGCCCCCGCCTTGTGATAAGGTTGGGTTGGACCCAAGTGATGGAGGGAGAAGAGCCAACCTTACCCACAGCACCACTACCTGTAGCTCCCAAAGAGTCGGCGAGAGGGGAAAGCAGGGGTGGGATGGCACTGGGGACTTCTTTCCTCGGACCATATTTGGGGAAGTGTTCCAGAATGTGTGCAAGTCCTCCTCGCTAGAGTGAAAAAGGGAATCCCAGGGAACGCTCTTCCCAGGATCCCCACATCCGGCCCTTCGCACTCAGCCCTCAACACGGAGCTGGGGGGTCGGAATGGAGGAGGAAGGCAGCTGGTCCCCCGGCCCCCCAGAACGACTCCCGGCGGCCGCTACTAGGCCTGGCCCGTGCCCGCGGCCTCAGGAGCTGCGACCCGGAGGGGCCTCGGTGCCCCGCGCCGGCCCGCCCAGCGGATACCCAGACCCGGCCTTCAACTCACCGCTCTCCACCTCGCTGCCTTTCTTGGCGGTCGCCGCGTTGCCCATGTCTGGGGCGATGGCAAGAAGGGGTCAGGGAGGGGAAGGGGGGCTGGGGCCGTGCCCGCCACTCCACAGTCTGGGGCAACTCCCGCTTCTGCACCCGTCAAAGCGGTGAGTGCGCCTAGCGCTGGCGCCCGGAGTCCGGGCAGGGAGACCGGGCCGGGTCTGAGGAAAGGGTTCCAGCGAACTCCTCAGCACCGGTAGCTGCGGCTGCTGCGGCGGCGGCGGCGGCGGCGGCGGCGGCGGCAGCAGTAGCGGCGGCGGGCAGACACTCCCCCTTCGCGCGGCCCGCCCTCCCCGCGCGCCCCCGGGCAGCCGCGCTCCCGGGCTAGGCCCTGGCCCGACTGTGTCTTCGCGCGCGGGTGCGCGCGCCGGAAGTGACGTGGCCCGGGACCCCGGGGGCGGGCGGTGGACCCTTAGCTGGCCGAGCCCAGGGTTGGGGCCTGAGGTTCCGCTGACCGCCTCCTCCGCCGCGGTATCCCGGTCTAGCGCTCGGATGCCCATCGCTGAGATAGTGGGAGGTGGAGTGGGAACCGCTAGCTTTGCGGACGGCAGAGTCCCTCCTCAGCCTGGCGTTCCCAGTGCCCTGGAGTGGAGTCGCGGGATACCGTTCAGCGGCTCGGGTGGTTTTCCTTGTGTCCCGCCACGCGGCGGCTCCTCACTCAAAGACTGCCTTTTCCTCACAGCGCCAGGTCCGAAAAAGAGCCGCACCTTCGGGTTGGAGATCGCGCGCAAGGGTGGTCTCTGGGTCTGCATCTGCCCGGCATCGGCAGTAGGAAAAGCCTGGTCCCTAGTCACGGTCGTAGTTCGAGCCTTTCATTCCCTCGCACATTGAGGTATTCGCTGAGCCCACCGCGTTGTCCTCGGGGATAGTAGGCTCCAGTCACAAGCCCTATGTTTTCAGACTTCCCAGGTGGAGATAAAGGAAAATTTTACTATTTCTGCACAACTTCTGTTGATGTACAGCATTGTATTTAGCAACTTCCGTGTAGATCTGAAAATAAATACATTCCCAATTGTTAGTTGCGTTTTTATTAATATAAATCTTAGAATACTTGATTTTGCTGTTAGCTTTACTTAGGTAAATTATATGGCACTCTAGCATTTTTGTGGTTCCATTGAACTTTGCTCTGTGTTTTCCACTTATTACAAAGTCAAAATAGACTGTAACTTCCCAAATTATTCTATGTTCCCAAGGCACCAGGCATAGTAGGTGTTTTACGAATACCTGTTGACTTGAAATTTCTCAGGCTTTTAAAAAAATTTTCATTACTGACAAAAAATGGAGCGATAAGATTATTAGTAAACTTCCTATTATCACCAATTCTGTTAATGTATACTGCATTACAACTTCTATACGAATAGTAACTCATTTGCTCCTCATAAGAACCCTATGAGAGATGTGGTTTTACTGTCATCATTTTAGTTACGAGCAAATTAAGGCACAAAGAAGTGACTTACCGAGATTACACAGCTATTATCTGGTGGAAGCAGGATTTGAACCCAGGCAATTGGGCTCCAAAAATCTGATCCTTTGTCTCTTAATGTTGACCAAAAACTTGTGGATGTTGTGGTAAATTGCTTTCTCTCCATTTGAAATCCCATTGACTTGAAGTGATAGATGCATAGTGAGCATACGTCTCAAGGAAATGTATTATATTGTTTTCTGGGTTTCAATTCAAATAAAATAAAAATAGTGAAGCAAGGATTTGGACTAGATGATGTGAGGTTTTGTGTCGGCATACAACAGTGTCACAACAATGTCATCTCCAATCCCATTTAGTTTTGTGTTGTGGCTGTTATTTTGCCCCACATACATAGAAAGTTCAATAAATAGCACTGAACCACATGTATACCAATTAAAGACAACTTTTGATATTCTGTATTCTAGAGGGAATCTTTCTAGTATCATAGAATATTCATACTACTGTCATTGGGGTGAGTTTTAAATGTAACCTTTTTAAATAAATCCGCTTTAATGATAAAAGAGTGGTCGTGTGCATAATTTGGCACTTTAACATAATTTTGAATTCTAGGTCTCTAATAAGAGGGCTACCATTTACATAGTAAATCATTAATTTACAAAGGAGACATTTGAGAGCTATTACAAAAATGGATACAATATAACTATACCTGAAAAATTAATAAGTAAAGCAAAAAATTCAGCTTTACAAATTGTCTCCCCTTCTTTCTCAATTTAACTTTATTATTGGTTAAGGAAATAAGTTCTTAATGATAGAGAAAAAGTGATCAGCAATTTAAAATTTCTTGCTATTTTTCTTTTTTCTTTATACCACTTTTTTCTGCTTCTTATATTAGCTTACTGCTGCTCTGGTTTAAGGAAGATTATATTTTAAAAGTATAGTTTGGTAAATAGTTTTTAATTAGTTAACATCCATAATCATTTATTTGTAATTACAAACAAGTTGTTTTTCATTATTAGAAGAGTTTTCTATAGAAATTTGTAATTTATGTAGCATCTAAAAGAGTATGTTTTATGAACTGGTTTTCTAACATTCTGGAAGGGGCAGAAATTTCAACTGTCCAGTTATTCGTGAATAATTGGAGGTTCCATGAGGCAATTTCTATCCTTTGCCACCAATGACTGCTGTACCCTAGACAAAAAGAGATGGAACTATGTAATTTTGTTTCCCTAGGAAAGCAGATGCAGTAAGAAGGGACTCATTCAGAGAAAATACTTTTGAGTTCCCTTCCATATAATATTTTTGCTAATCTGAGAACATACAGCATTGTGTAAAAGGGAAAATTATACCAGTGGTATTTGCAAACCTACATAAGCCAGATAACTATCTTAGCCCCATTTTACAAATGAGTGGAACAAGAGCTCAAAGAAGTGAAGTAAGTTGGCCAAGGTCACTCAAGTGGTAAGAGGCAGAGCTCTAGATTATATGCTGTCACTCTGAAACACATAATCTAATCCTCATTAAGATTAGGTTTTTAAATCCGTATTTTGCAGATGAGAAAACTAAGGTTTATGAACAAAGAATCTTGGCACTCTTCTTTCTAGACCACCTCTTAACTCATGAGTGAGAAAAGGGGAGAAAATTAGTAAATATTTTTTCAAATTTATTTTGTAGTTTCTACTTATATTGCCAACTTGATTTCCAAGTTCTTTTAAAGTAAAGCACCCTCAAACACAATGTATGTCGGAAGTACTTGTTTTTCTTAAGAGTGACCAATAATGAAAAACAACTTGTTTGTAATTACAAATAAATGATTGTGGATGTTAACTAATTAAAAACTATTTAGCAAACATACTTTTAAAGTATAATCTTCCTTAAACCAGAGCAGGGGTAAGCTAATTTTGTTTTCATATAATATTTTACATGAAATAAATGCAAGTGAGAATTTAACCACTATAGAATTACAATTTTTTGAATGATAATCATCCACGTTGTCTAATATTTTATTATTGTATAGTATATACCAAATCAAAAGATACCACATGAAATACCAGGCAAAGGGCAAAGTAATATTTCCAAAATGAGGAAGTAATTTTATGGCCAATAAATTACAAGTATGATAAGTGTTTTAAATCATTCTAATACAGTACAAAGTTTTCTTGTTGGGCATAATTCTAATCCTTTTGTTCAATGATGAATTTTTTTTATCTGAGTTTCAGTATTCATCTTTTTGGATATTCCTTTACAGATAGGAAAACTAAAACAATTGACTCTTGTTGAGTAACCAGAATATTAACAAAATATGTCCTAGTGCCAAAGTGGAATTATAGCTTCTCTCTTTCACAGAGGAACTGGGATACAAACTGAAAGCTTTAAGGAAACATATATATATATATAGGAGTGTGAGGGGCCACAAAACCAACTTTTTTTCTTAACATGAAATTATCTCTCTCAGAAAAGTTGATGTTTGTTTGGGATATTCTAATTGTACTAGTGTATTTATCAAAACTATGCCCAAATCTCTGCTATTTCAGTGTTGTGTTCTGCATTTTTTGACATGTACCTTTAAGACAAAAATAACACCCAAATTTACAAAATATTTGCTTGAAATCAAACACGGCACAAAAGCTTTCACGGAGTCTCAGCTTTTATAATCAGATTATCTGTGATCAAGGTGAAAAGGGGAGAATCTGGTCGACAAAATTAAAATTATTAATACATTTATATGATTGATAGTGACAAAATAGAATGTTATGTAGTGAGGTAGAAAAGCTTTCAGCATTTTAGTCAGAAATACCTGGGTTCATGTTCTGGTTTGGCCACTATCTACGACAAAATATCTACAAAATATCTAAATTATTTTATTTCCCTTGACTTAGTTTCCTGTAGTGTGAGGTTATATGTATTAAATCATATAGTCTATGAAAAACACCTAGGATAACTTTCGTTATATGATAGGCACTCAGTAATTATAAGTCTGTTCTTTAATCCTCAATAACATTCTATTTTCTCATCTTTATGTTTCAACGACAATCATTCAACAAATTTGATTACAACAAATAGAATAATAAGGAGTTTGTACTATATGCAAAGTATTATGAAAGGGACAAAAATGAACAAAATCAGTTTCCTGTCCTCAAGAAGTTTTTGTGTAAGCAAGATGAATATATAAATCAGTGATTGTACAAGATAAATTTGTACTATAGCATAAATGTAAACAATTAGGAAACATAAAGTAAGTGCCATTAAATCATAGATATTTTAGCATTGAATTTTGATATTTAACAGGTGGGGAAGATCATTGAGAACTAAGGACAGCTTGAGCAGAGGCTTCCATGGAAATTATCCCCAGGCCATGCTAGACCAGATGTTATGGAAAGATGTTGTAAGAGTTGCAACTTTCCTACTGGAATGTAAGCTATATGTGGAAGAATTTTTATTTTGTCATCACTATATCTACTATATCCAGCATTATGCCTCATATATAGTAAGTACTCAATAAATATTTGCTGAATGAGTG